TAACTATCACATCAAGTTTGTCTTCTGTTAAAATCTCAAGTTCATTATCAGCATCAGACCATATAATTATTTCTTTTGTTACTGGATACCTTCTCCATCAATCTTTTTATGTCATAATTGTTTTCAGATTTTCCTGAGCTTTTCAATTCTCCATTTAAAGATATCCTGATAATATTTGTTAAATGAATAAAATTTAGGTCCTTACTTATAGCAGATGTTAGAGTGATAACAGCAAGCAATATAGCCACGATCCTTTGCCCAGAGGGAGCTTACTATCTGAAAGGGAAAACAAACAAGCCAATGATACAAATAAAATATGGTAACTATGACAACAAAGGCCCTTCAGGGTGTCAGGGTATGTGACGTTGTTGTTAGAACATGTCGGTCAGAACTGTGCTCCAGTAGGGTTTTCTGTGGCTGATATTTCAACAGTAGTTGCCAGGCATTTCTTCCAAGGTGTCTTTGGGTAGTTTGAACTGCCAGCCTTTTGGTTAGCAGCCAAGTATGCTAACCATTTGCACCACCAGGGACTCCATATCCATCTATTCATCTTGCCTTTTTATTACCCATTACAGCATACAGAGTTTAACTCATTGTTGCAAACTTCATGAGGATTTTTAATTGTGGCATAATCTAACACAGGAATTGACAGACTTCATAATATAATTTACAGAGTACACAGGAATCAGATTGACTCTATCTGTGGCAAAAGGCAATGGAGAAGCTCAATATCTTCAGCCAAAACAAGCCCAGGAGGTGACTGTGGAACAGACCATCAACTGCTCATATGAAAGTTCAAGTTGAAGCTGAAGACAATTAAAACAAGTCTATGAGAGCCAAAAAATGACCTTGATTATATCCCTCCTGAATTTAGAGACCATCTAAAGAACAGATTTGATGCACTGAACACCAATGACCGAAAAACAGAATTGTAGGATGACATCAACAGCATCATCCATGAAGAAAGCAAGAGGTCATTAAAAATACAAGAAAGAAAGAAAAGACCAAAATGGATGTCAGAAGAGACTCTGAAACTTGCCCGTGAGTGAAGAGTAGCTAAAGCAAATGGAAGAAATGACAAGATAAAAGAGCTGAACAGAAGAATTCAAAGAGCAGCTCGAGCAGACAAAACCAATTACTATAAAGAAATGTGCAAAGACCTGGAGTTAGAAAACCAAAAGGGAAGAACACAGTATTTCTTAAGCTGAAAGAACTGAGGAAAAAGTAAAGCCTCGAGTTGCAATATTGAAAGATTCTATGGGCAAAATATTGAATGATGCAGGAAGCATCAAAAGAAGATGGAAGGAATACAC